TTAACACATCTAGTTTCTCGGCTAAGCTTATACACTTTCTATTAGCTTTTGAACCAACACTACCATCACTTGCTCTCTTGCTCATGTTGAATTGGGATGCAAAAATGCTGTAAGAAACCTGAGAAACTTTTTTCTCCTGTTCCTGTTCCAGATGTGAAACAAAAGGCCCGCCAAGCCCGACTGTTGTTTACCACTATTAGCCAGGCAGCTTTTTATGCAAGTAACTTTCATTTTCTAACAATATTTTTTCTTTATAATACATATGATTTGGTTATTATTTATATGAAAATATAATTTTTTTATTTTTATTATACTTTCGTCAGAAATACTTAATGAAATAAGAACTAAATTGAATTGGGTCCTAAATTAACTAGATTTTAAATATGAAAAGTTGTTTGGTCGAACAGTTGTTAGCACATAAAACACATGCAGAATGAATTTAAGGAAAAACTTTTTCACACAGAAGGTGATAGACCTATGAAATGGTCTATCAGCTCAAGCTGTGGAATCAAAAACAGTACTGGGATTCAAAATAGCCCTTGTCAAAATTGTCAAGAAAAAGGTAGGGATCCTACACAGGCCACTGGCTTCCTCCCCTTGGCATGGTCACCTATAGTGGATGGCCATTAGGTAAATAAAGCAAAGGTAGAGTCCTGCACAACACATATCATATGCAAAAAAGCAGAAAATAAGCAAACAGCTTGTACAATGCCAGCAGACAATGAACTGAGTTTCATGATGCAAGAGTTTGAGGAAATAGGCCGTGAGATGCATCACCCAATCATAGGCATCCCATGCAGTCAAATGACAGTAATGACCAATTGTGGCTCACAAGCACTCTGACCCTATCCACCCCTGCGCCTGGCACGAGTCCCCGCGTCGGAAATATGATGCAATCTCTTGGAAATTCGTTCCCATGCTCAGTATGGAGATAGATCCTCAGAATTTTCCGGAAATGTACATGATGCAATCCTTGAAAATTCATTCCACTGCCTGGAATGAAGAGCTTTTCCCCAGAATTTCTTGGAATACTCAATTTTTTCCAGGCTATTGTTGAGTTCAATGGATCGAAAAATCTAGCTCATTGTCTGCTGCCATTGTACCAACTTGTTTTCGAATACAATCTGTGTAGTGCAGCACAGTTCTGCATATTACTGTACCAGCATATAATCAGCCAAGAATACCATTAAAGCAGTGTAGAGACAAAAAAGTTATTACAGTTAAGTACTGTACATTCAGTAAGTGTTAAGTACCATACGTACAGTTACGGAAATATGTTCCTACACCTGTGATATTCCGTGCTCAAACGGCCGACCTATATGACCTATAGCAAACCTATCCACGAATCACGCCCTCATTACACGACCAATACCCATTCATTCATAAAAAGTGATACTACTACTGCGATGTTGTTATTTGGAGACACGGGTTACCACAGGAGGCGTAGAAACATTTCTGCAACTGTACAGTAGATAGCATAGTGGACAGTGTATGCTTACTGAAGGCTATTATGTAGACTGTAGAGGATGTATGTAGAGTATACATTATGTGTACAATTCCTCCTTCATGGAGGGAGAGGAGTGACAGCTAGCAGCAAATGCCATAGGAGATGGTACAGGACAAAGGCAGACCATCCTGTTCCTGTATCATCATATCACCATTTGGCCTGCCTGCATCACAAGCTCAAGATGACAGCATCTGCTGGTGAGTACAGTATAATATATACAGTTGTATATTTTCTTTATTTACAATATATTGAACATGTACAGGTACTCCTCGATTATGACCACCCGGACATACGTCCGCTTAGACTCTCGGAAAACTTAACCCAGTACTGTACCCAGAAAAATTCCGATGTGCGATTTTTTCTCCAATCCCAAAACCACTCTACATCATTATTCCGGCTAATGGGAATATCAATGTATAATGTACTGTACTTGTATTTAGTGAGCAGGCAAATTTCAATTTCCCACTCTGTGATACAGTGGACATGAAGGGATTATGTATTTATCAACATCCAGTGTGGCAAAAAACACACAGGATATACATGATCACATTTTCCCTTATGTACAATATTATAACTTAAAAAGAAAGTAATTTCTTTCAGATAATACTGGCTGTACAGTACATTATAAACATTCTGGAATTCATTATAGTACTATTGTACATCAGACACAAAATACTGTACAGTACACTAAAACCTTTACCAATTAATTTTTTTCAAATCGATATCAATGTACAGTACTGTATATAAGTCAAACTTGTATAGTGCTGTATACTGTACTTTACCCCTTCACTACTGGAATGCCAATTTTAATAATTTATTTTATTATTTTATTTGGCGAATGCCAAACAAATTTATTCAGCAGAGGGGACCCTGTACACATACCTATAAATCAATGTCAATAAATAAATTTGATTACAGTACAATAAAAACTATGCCAAATTGATATTTGGTTAGACAAATAAAGGTTGGCTGATTTAAACCAATGGTTTAAAAATAATAATTTCTCTGCTTTTTTTTCTGGTTTTAATAAATTTGGGGGTTACAGTAGTTTTTATTACTTATATAGATGGTTTTAATGATCTATAGTAGATTTAGAAAAGGCATATGATTGAACAGAAAAGCACTGTGGGAGGCATTACAAGTGTATGGGCGAAGAAGGCTATTAAATGCAGTAAAGGCATTCTATGAGAACAGCAGGGCAACAGTAGGAGTAAATGGGAAAGAAAGTGAAACACGTGAAATAAATGTGGGTGTTAGACAGGATGTTATGTTCCGGGGTTGTTCAATACCTTTATGTACATGGATGTGAACTATTATACACTGGTGAAAGTGGTGATAATAAGCTTACAGGGCTGCACACATCTCAAATCCTGAATACACTATAAGGGAGCCAAGTTGCCACTGTCCAGTACAGTATAACCAGTGACTGCTTCTGTTTATGGTTGGGCTGAGCCTCTGATTCTAATGTGTTCAGACTATGAATTATATGAGTTCAAGGGAGCCAAGTTAACACTGCCCATCTCTCTCTCTCCAACTGTACTTAAATGAATTCTTTAAAATTTTCAACTGTAAAAGTATAATAGTTTTTCCATGCAATAAAATGAACTTAAACTCAGTTTTTTACCTTTAAGCATGTAGGATGAGCCTGGATAGCTGATCAAAGCTTGTGTTTTTTCACATTTGGCCTTTTAGAGAGAGAGAGAGAGAGAGAGAGAGAGAGAGAGAGAGAGAGAGAGAGAGAGAGAGAGAGAGAGAGAGAGAGAGAGAGAGAGAGAGAGAGAGAGAGAGAGAGAGAGAGAGAGAGAGAGAGAGAGAGAGAGAGAGAGAGAGAGAGAGGGAAAGAGAGAGAGAGAGAGAGAGAGAGAGAGAGAGAGAGAGAGAGAGAGAGAGAGAGAGAGAGAGAGAGAGAGAGAGAGAGAGAGAGAGAGAGAGAGAGAGAGAGAGAGAGAGAGAGAGAGAGAGAGAGAGAGAGAGAGAGAGAGAGAGAGAGAGAGAGAGAGAGAGAGAGAGAGAGAGAGAGAGAGAGAGAGAGAGAGAGAAGAGAGAGAGAGAGAGAGAGAGAGAGAGAGAGAGAGAGAGAGAGAGAGAGAGAGAGAGAGAGAGAGAGAGAGAGAGAGAGAGAGAGAGAGAGAGAGAGAGAGAGAGAGAGAGAGAGAGAGAGAGAGAGAGAGAGAGAGAGAGAGAGAGAGAGAGAGAGAGAGAGAGAGAGAGAGAGAGAGAGAGAGAGAGAGAGAGAGAGAGAGAGAGAGAGAGAGAGAGAGAGAGAGAGAGAGAGAGAGAGAGAGAGAGAGAGAGAGAGAGAGAGAGAGAGAGAGAGAGAGAGAGAGAGAGAGAGAGAGAGAGAGAGAGAGAGAGAGAGAGAGAGAGAGAGAGAGAGAGAGAGAGAGAGAGAGAGAGAGAGAGAGAGAGAGAGAGAGAGAGAGAGAGAGAGAGAGAGAGAGAGAGAGAGAGAGAGAGAGAGAGAGAGAGAGAGAGAGAGAGAGAGAGAGAGAGAGAGAGAGAGAGAGAGAGAGAGAGAGAGAGAGAGAGAGAGAGAGAGAGAGAGAGAGAGAGAGAGAGAGAGAGAGAGAGAGAGAGAGAGAGAGAGAGAGAGAGAGAGAGAGAGAGAGAGAGAGAGAGAGAGAGAGAGAGAGAGAGAGAGAGAGAGAGAGAGAGAGAGAGAGAGAGAGAGAGAGAGAGAGAGAGAGAGAGAGAGAGAGAGAGAGAGAGAGAGAGAGAGAGAGAGAGAGAGAGAGAGAGAGAGAGAGAGAGAGAGAGAGAGAGAGAGAGAGAGAGAGAGAGACTAGCAAATCAAATATTGTTGTGATAAAAGGAGAATTCATACACAAGCAGAAAAAATATTGGCAAGCAGGATATCTTCTCAGCCAAATGCTAGAATCTTAAAACAGGTTTAAGAGTAATTGCTATTAGAGAATCATATGAATGCAACAACAATCTGTCAAGACACACACCATGAAGCATGCAAATAACTTTTTCTTACCAGTAACTAGTCTCTGAGAAAGAAGGCCTGCGAAGAACATAGGGTACAGTAATTAGATCATGAGCCGTGTCTCCATTTTGGAGTTTTCAAAAATATATGCATACATTTAGGTGTATCAATGAATGCATATCCCTAAACAAAACACAAGTTTTTTTTACTGTGTGTCCTGACATTATTTTTACATTGAGTGAAGTGAAATGATAATACTGTACTGTACTTACTAGATTGTTGCTGAGTACAGAATTATCAAGCATGTTCTTTTCAAGATTACTGTACATCATTCACCTCAGCTTGATACCCAATTCAATATGATACACTGTATGCTTAGGCCTCACAAGGCAAGTCAAACAAATGCTGTCTGAAAAAATTATTATACTATTGATTATAATAAATTGAAGCCAATAGGTATGAATTTTATTTAAGAAGACTCCATCTATCAGAAAACAACACAGCTCTTGTCTAACCTATGAGCATGGCAGTACTGTACAATATATTACTGAAAATTATAGTTACCAGTACCGTCTTGGATGGTAATTCTGAAGACTCTAACACTTCCATTACGGCAGGTAGAGAAGAAATCCAATAAATCTTCATTTGCTGGAAGTAAGAGACATATTATAATACAAGTTTTAGAAAAGATATTCCCCAAAACTATTATCAAAATAAAAATATCACAGCAAGAGATATTAATCCATCGCAAGAAAAAAATTAATGCGACAAACTTAAAAGGCAAAATGCAAAGCTTAATAATGAGAAGAAAAATAATTTAAAATGCAAGGTTAATAAAATATAATGGACATAAATTCTACAAAGATATCAGAGTTAGCTTAATTAAAACATTAGTTTATAGAAGCGGTTTTGTAAGTAAACACAAAGTCAGTGATTAATATAGAACACAATGAGGAACTTCTCAGTCCACACTGATTTTGTTACAACTTGTGGTACAGTATCTCAACTTATGTATGCATATTGTTTAGGATTTGTTAATTTACTATATAAGATAAATAGGAGTTTCATTTTTGAAACACTGGTTGAGGAATACCACTGCAGTATTGTATATGTACTTATAAGGCTTTTGCAAACAAAATTTCATTGTTTTCAAAATCATATCCAAAGCAAAATTAAGCCCATAGAATTTCACAAGCAAGCTTCAGCTGTAGTCTGGGATCTTGCCAACTTCAAATAAATAAAACAAGATTTTAAAAACAAACGTGAAAATATATAGCTAACTCCAAAAACTGAGCAACAAAATGTTCATCAAAACATTGCAGATGATAGCTCTATCACATCACCTTTTAATGGAACACAATGCAAGTAAAAGTCTTTTGACACTTTGTGTTATCTTTGAAATTTTCTTAAGTAAATGTACAGTATACCTATATTTGTGATTGCTATTCTACCATACAGTATTATATTTTAATGTTCACTAATGAATTCCCAATAAAATCAATCAATTAATACATTCAATAACAATATTAGAGAAAATGATGGACATTGAAAATTCAAACATAACATGAATCTGATTTATTTAACCTGCTAGCAAGGTTATGTTAAGTTAGGTTTGCTTAGATTTCTGGCCAAAAGTCTAAAATGACTCTGCAGAATGGCTTGCTTTCTTTGAGATTTTCACAATACAGTACTGTAATATTTATTTTGATGCAAAACAGTAACTCTGGTGGGGAAACAAGAAAAATTAACTTTGAAATGCTGTTCTTAGAAAATTGAATTTGGACGTGGCTTCTGCATCTTCAATGAACTGACATCAACCATCATGTATTGTCTGATTACAGCAGGAACATACCAGTGAATGCTGCCATCTCAAGTTTTGTCAAATTGCCAAAGTGCAGAAGGTATGGAGGAAATGATCTACAGGTGTTTGAAGTTTCCCTCAGTAAAATTTTATCTTTTTTCTTTACTCTACAAACTGAAGTTGCACTATGCACTAAAACATGTAATGGCACTTTTCTGAAAATCCAGACCTAGTAACATCTTTATTAAGTCCATTGAGTCATTCTAGAGTCTAGTCATTTACCGAAACTGGTGTTTTAATCTATACTATTCCATATAAAAAAAAATATATATATATGGAACTGTCTACTCTGTGGGCCTAAATTTTTTTTTTTCAGAAAATTCAGTAACATTTTAATGGACAGAATACAAATCCAATGAGATGGGAAGGGAAAATGACTGAATACTGTATACAGTACAGGGTGCTAGTGTAGCATGTGGTCTACAAGATATTTAGCTTAGGTTAGGTGAGGTTCAGTTTAGTTAGGTCGGGTTAGGTTAGGTCAGGTCAGGTCAGACTAAAGTAGAGGGAAAATGTGGGATAAAATACTAAAAAGAACACCAAACAAATTTTTTGAAAACCTTACCTAACCTTTCCTAACCTATAAAAAAGGTTAAGAATCACTTTCGAGTTTATGGATCCCTCCTCATCTGAACACTAGAAACACCGCCACCATCACATTCTAAATACCAAAAACATGAATAAGGTAAGGTATTGATAGTTTAAAAATTTATAGGTTAGGAAAGGTTAGGTAAGGTTAGGAAAGATTTTCAAAAGTTTGTTTGTTCTTTTTAGTATTTTAGCCCACACTTTCCCTCTACTTCAAAGCCCTGCCCACTTTGAACAACCAATATTGTTAGTAATATACGTTAAAATATTCAAAAAATATAGATTTGCAATGGAAACAATAGTAATAGAAATACCCTGTATGACGTTCCTTGTTCGACCTAAAACGAATCTGTACCCAAGTTTTTCATTTATTTCCTTACTTCCCAACTGGAAATGATTATATACTCTTACATTAAAACAAACATTGCAATGAAAATCCCAAAGCAAAACAAACCATTACATCTGCCCAGTCATTTATCCCAGGCATAATGAGGCTACTAAGTTATTATAGAGTATTAAGCAAAGCATTAACAGTGAAACATACACAGAAAATATGGGCGTTCATTACTGGCAAGGCCAGGGAAAGTTGAATTAGATGTTGAAAATCCTGTTGACCCAGTTTGACACAGTGAACCCCGCACATAACATTTACAAAACGGAGTTGGTTTATCATATGAATGATTCCGAGAATTAGCAAGTTTATGGAGAAAAATAACGATATATTAGACAATGATAACCAGTTATGCCAGGAAACGCCCTCAGTTCCACCCACAAAACACAAGGTTCCCCTCCAACACTCACTCCCTTTATATCACATCCACTTTGATTCAGATAACAACACAAGGAGTTATAGCTGTACTTTACCAACGCCCACTAGTAAGGTAAAACATGTGTGATCAGTATTTAACGTTATTTTTTATACCTGTAATCCCGGTTTGATGTGACATGACTGGTTTTCGTTTCCGTCTGTGTCGTCGCTTACTGTGCTAGTGTGAACCAAGGTCTATAGGATATACAGTGAGCTCTGATCACACATCAAAGAAAACGGAACCTCTCGGAGCTTGTGACATCATTTGTACCCCTCTCTCTCTCTGGCTGAGATCATATTGTGCTAAAACTAAATTTTTGCTTTAAACAAATTCACGCCTAGATGGCCATCTTCGTGTGAGTGTGTCTGGTGTGTGTGTGTGTGTGAGTGTGTCTGGTGTGTACAATTTCTTTCAGTGAGACCATATATATATATATATATATATATATATATATATATATATATATATATATATATATATATATATATATATATATATATATATATATATATATATATATATATATATATATATATATATTGATATTGATATTGATATTGATATTGAAACAGTTTATTTAGCCAAAAATACAGTCAATAGTAATAACAATATTAAGATGGTTGAGCCAGTTGAGAGCCTGAGCTCTCTTGAAGGCACCTGATATATAATGCATATTTATCTCAGGAAGTATTATGTAATATTTAGTATCATCTGGTATACTACACGTAACATGGTGGTAGTAAGAACATATCAGAATGCTACCACAGTTATCACTTCGTTATTTATATATTTTATTTTTTACATTTATATTATAAGTATATACGGTACATATTTTACAGTGGGGTTGATATTCATTAATATGATGAAAGGGAAGCAATACAACATAGGTTGTGTTAAGGTAGAACAAGAGGACAGAAGAGCTGTCATGTCATGTCTTCTTGGCAAATATAATTATTGCAATGGTAATTTCTATCTACATGACAATTTATGATATAATGGTTTTGGTGGTACAATCAAAGCAGGTATATAAAGTAGGTACAGCATTACAAAAATATTAACACTTAAACGACAGATATTTTTTTTTAGAGATGATTTAAAGGAAGAGAGCGTAGTCTTTGCTCAGATGGGTCGGGTAGTTGTTCCACACCTTCACATCGTGATATTTTATGGAGGTCTGGGACTGAGAGGAGCGCTTGGGGGGTGGTCATAGTAGCTCTGATTATTCCGGAACTAGAAAGAATTATTGTCAATCTAGCGATTGGCAGAGTTGTAAACAAACAGGGCACAGCAGTAGTTGTTAATATCCTAGAATTTAACATTTTTAATTCAGCAATTATTCGTTAATGTGATCATTTTTTTCATCATGTACCCTGTAGGTCAAAGTCTGCACAACTTTCTTATGTGCAGTAATCAGGGGTTGCGTTTTTTGTAGAGCCAGAGGCCCCCCCATAGTGTGTGACAGTGTATCAAGCAAGTGTTGGTAAACAAGATCATAATAGATTTCTTTCATTGCTGCAAGAGTGAGTGACTGACGAGTGTGATACAGGATACAGCACTGTTTGCTAACTTTATTGTGGATGGCTTGTATGTGGTTTCTCTAGCTAAGTTTATCAAAGCTAAAGATTCACAAGAGTCCCGGCCCAGATATGGTACACCCCAGAGTGCTAAAGAGAACTGGAACGAGGTTGCAGAGCCCCTTAAGATCCTGTTCTGCAAATGCCTGGAGGAGTAAAAGGTCCCCGACGACTGGAAGATGGCTTATGTGAGTCCTCACTGTCCTATATTCAAGAAGGGCGATCGTCACTCCGCGAATAATTATAGACCAGCGAGCCTGACCAGCATAGTGTACAAAGTACTGTACCTGAGAGCATCGTAAGAGATGCCATGATGGAACATCTGCTACGAAACAACCTTGTAAAGGAATGCCAACACGGTTTTATGCCGGGAAGATCCTGCTTAACACAATTACTCAAGGTACTAAATGTTTGGAAATTCTAGAATCTAAATCAAGGCGAAAATATCGACAATATATACCTAGCTGTTGCCAAGGCTTTCGACAGCGTACCCCGTGAAAGGCTGAGAATTAAACTGGAAGGGTACGGGATTCGGGGAAGTGTCCCAGCGTGGTTCAGAGACTTTCTGCATGACCGCAAACAGTGTGGTGATAAATGGTACAAAATCGTAATTTGTACTTGTGACCAATGAGGTACCACAGGGCAGTGTATTAGGCCCGTTGTTGTTTGTCTGTTTCATTAATGACATGCCAGAAGCTATACACTCCTCCATACAAATGTTTGCGGACGATGCAGAGTTATTTGGGGAAATTAAGAACCAAACATGAAGAACTGCAGAAAGATCTATATGAGCTTCAAGAATGGTCGAGGAAATGGTTGCTAAAATTCAATGTCACGAAGTGCAAAAGGATGCACCTGGGTTGCACCAATAGTAAGGAAGCGTATCACATGTCCCAACAGGACGAAGAGACTGCATTAATTAAGACCGAATGTGAAAAGGGCCTGGGTGTGTATATCGACAATGAACTTACATTCTCGGGCCATTGTGAGAAAGTGAACCAGGCAACGAAACTATCTGGATGGTCCATCACTCGTCACGATCTTCAAGAGTGAGGTGCTTCCCCGTCTGGAGTACTGCCACCCCGTCTGGTCTCCGGGGTATGCTAGAGATTGTCAATTGATTGAAAATGTCCAAAGGAGGGCCACCAGACTGGTGCCTGCTCTACGGAACCTCAGTTACCCAGAGAGATTGGAGCGCCTGCAACTGCTTAGCTTATACTACAGACGGGCGAAGGGCGACCTAACCGAAGTGTATAAAACAGTATAATCATCTCTGGGGCACTACTCGGTCGAATGTACGTACATACCTGGAGCTGGCGGACGTCTGCCCCACAAGAGGTCACAGCTCAAGGTTGAAGAAGCCACAAGTCCAGAAAACTGTGAAGGCATTTTTTTTTTCGGAGAACGTTGTGACGGCACCGAGTGAGAGCTAATTCAAGGCCAGACTTGACCAACATTGGAGCAGGTCCCGATATATTCAGGAGCCCAGTATCTGCCAACAGTGCAGAGACATAACCAACCGCCCAAGCGACTAACGAGCCAATCAGTGGCGACGAGGATAAAAAAAATCAACAATAACCCCAAGGAATTTAATATTTTGTTCACGTTTGAGGACTGTATTACCAGGGTACTGTACAGGGGGTCCAAATCTGAGGGTAAGTTTTTCCTTCTGTGAAAGATTGTGTAGTGGGTTTTTTCTAGGTTTAAGCTTAGTTTATTACGTATTACCCATTTTTTTTTTACGGGAATTAGCCCACCCGGGCACAGGTCAAACGACCCACAACAGAGCCTGGGGGGGCGAAAAAAAAAGAACAGAAAGAAATTTAAAATAGAGAAGAAAGAGGTTACACTGTGTTAATCTACACAGTTGTATTTGATGGGTGTGCTGTAGTGGACTATATCATTTATGTACAACAAGAACAGTACAGGACCAAGAATGGAGCCTTGATGGACGCCATACAAAATTGGTGAGGAGTCAGATTGATGATTATTATACCAGACATACTGCTTCCTGTTAGACAGACAGGGATAAGCCCCTAGCGCCGTAATGTTCAAGCTTTGCCAGGGGGATGGTATGCTCGACAGTATCAAAGGCTTTAGGAAGGTCCAGGAATATACCGACTGTGAACTATCAACTAACTGACTGTCATCAAAGGAGTTTAAGATTTCATTAGTAAAGGATGGCAGAGCACTCTCTGTTGAGCTTCTAGCTCTAAATCCACACTGGGAGTCTGTAAGGAAGTTATTAACATTGCAGAAGGAATTTAGTCTACTACATGCTAGCTTCTCCAGTACTGTATCTTACTTAAGGCTGGGAGGACTGATATGGGAAGGTAATTCTTGAGAAGACCAGGAAAATAAAAGTGGTTTGCACAAATAGCATTTATTACATTTCAACAATAGTGATTTACTTATGTGGGAGCTACTATAGTATGCGGTCTACCGAGCTGGAGTTGGTCTACCGGGATATTTACACCGTAGCATCCATTAACCTAACCTAAACCTCGGTTAGGTTAGGTCAGGTTAATGGATGTTACAGTGTAAGTATTCTGATAGACCAACTCCAGCTCGGTAGACCGCATACTATAGTAGCACCCTTATGTGGTTTTATATTTAATTAATAATCCTTACCTCAACATCCCATTCAACAACCATATGCGCCCATAGATTTTCTATTGGATTACAATCGGCTCCTTTAAGGGGCCAGTCCAATAGAATAATCTGCGGGTGCGCCTCAAACCAACGCTTGACTGCCTGACTTGTATGTATTGCACTGCGGTCTTGCACCATACATATAGGCTGTGAGTTACTGGCAGGTAGACAAAATAGAAAACTCACAGCCAAACTGTAAGAAAACCCATGGACAATGAGACATTACTAAAATATACTAGGTCATTTTAGCGCATGCACACACATATACAGACCTATTGGTCCTTGCGAGGCTGTTTGGTTATGCTATGCTAACTAGATTGCTAGGGTAAGGGAAAGTAAGTATATATATATATATATATATATATATATATATATATATATATATATATACAAATATATATATATATATATATATATATATATATATATATATATATATATATATATATATATATATATATATATATATATATATATATATATATATATATATATATATATATATATATATATACAAATATATATGTATATATATATATATATATGTATATATGTATATATATATATGTATATATATGTATATATATATATGTATATATGTATATATGTATATATATGTATACATATGTATATATATATATACTGTATATATATATATATATATATATATATATATATATATATATATATATATATAAAACTCTTCTCAACAAATGCAAGGATGAATTATACGACTTACCCTTTGAGCAACCGTGTCCACACTGATACGGCAGGCCTCCCGACACACGACGTCAGGTCGGTCATTCCTGTCCTTTGGTTCTTCATTTCGTAACTCCAGTGTGTGGTGCTTTCCCTCACGTCCAATGGTTAAACGAGATTTTTTACGGTTTGCAATAAAATGCAATATTACAGTATATTAATATAGATTTTCCTCCATGTATTGATACTATGACTAGTTACCAAAATACAGAGCACGATGAACATAACATGATAATGATAGTGAAGCCTGGA